GCAGTCTAGTGCCTTCAGTCTTAAGTCTTGGTGGTATTTAAAAGGGTGTCCATGGTGAAGAAAAGGTGGAGAACTAATGTCTTAAGGTATCAAAAAATAATGATGCCAGAAATAAAACACAGACAAGCACAAAGGCAGGACTGATTCATTTTTTCGGGGGGAGTGGTGGTAGTGGTCTAGTCTGTTGCACCATAAAAGGGATTGGGGGTAGTGACATGATCATTTTGGGGTCCCCTGCTAGGAGAAAGGAATGGCATAAAAATAGTTAAAAATTCCAATGTGAGCAATATTGACGTGATCAAGTCCTTTCCACATTTTATGCAGTTTTGATGTCTTAAGGTATCAAGTTTTGAAATAGATTAGTTATTGGTATGGCATGAAGGACGTATTGTGGTGCAGTGATTTGAGCATTAAACTCAGGGTTGGAATCCTTACTCAGCCATTGAATCCCTTTGGTGATCTTGGGCAAGTTCGTCTTTCCCAGCCTCAGAGGAAAGGAAGGCAGCCCTCCCCACCACCACTATTTACAAATCCTGTTAAGAAAATCCCATGATAGGCTTACCTTAGGTTTGCTATAATTCAGGAAAGATTTGAAGGCACCCAACAGCAAATGGAAAGCAACATACAGTAGAGTGCCTAAAATACTTAAAGGTACCATATCCCACCTGAACCAAGAAGCTAAGCAGAATCAGACCTCGTTAGTATTTGGATGGGAAATGGACAACAAATACCAGGAGCTGTAGGCTCTATTCAAAGCAAGGAATTGGCAAAATTATCTCTGAGAAATCCCTTAGAAATTCTTGAAGTTTTTATAAATCAAAAGATGAATTGATAGCACATACAGAGATAGAAAAAATGGTCAAAGAGAAATAAATGGAAGTACAGAGATATGTGGACAGAGTGGGAAAGAAATACAGAGGGCAATAAAAGGAAGCAGCTTTACAAAGACACATTGTCTGCCAAAGGAGAATAAGGTGGGCAGGGATATTTTAATCAGATGTCAGTAGCCACGGAGTTCTTCCTTTCAGTCTTTTTATGATCACAATGTGCTAGCTCTCTGAGTCACATTAGAGTCTGAAATGTATGAGCGGATTTCCAAGGAACAGGTGAAAGGATCACTTCGTCTCACAGCTGCAGAGAGATGTTGGGAGGTCCGAATCTAACTGGAGGTCTATGTGTATATGCAATGCCTCATGTGTCCTGTTGGAATAAATGAGTCTAGCAGAAGGACATTTCCAATTAGACTTTGCCATGAACCCCATTCACACACTGAGATTCCTACAGTGAACACACAGCCACAAATGCAGTAGGCTCAGCCCTATTATGTGCATTATATACTCATACTACTGCCACATACCCATAACATGCCTCATCTAGGACTTCATCACACTGGGACCCCTGCCCTCTCCGGTGCCGTTTGCCAATCTCCGTGGCAAAATGGCAGGGATAAGGGGTGACTTTGTCACCCCTTGCACTGCTTCTCCTGAAGCCTTGTGGATGTGTGCTAGCTCAGCACAAAACGGGAAAGCTTCTATGTTGCAAGGGAAGCGACATACAATGCTTCCACTCTGGTTGTGGGTGAGGTCTCTGCTGGAAGTCCAGTGATGATGATGATGATGATAATAATAATAATAATAATCTTTATTTATACCCTGCCACCATCTACCCCGAGGGGACTCGGAGTGGCTTACCTGAGGCCAAGCCTGACAATACGGTCCTTAAGATCTTCCGGGGATGCTCTTCTCTCGCTCCCGCCCCCGTCTCAGGCACGGCTGGTGGTGACGAGAGAGAGGGCATTCTCGGTGGTGGCCCCCCGTCTCTGGAACTCCCTCCCCAGGGAGATAGGCTGGCACCCTCCCTAGCCACATTCCGTAAGGAATTAAAGATGGGGATGTTTCGTCGTGCTTTCAATTGATGACTCCTATGACAAATGACCTGCAACATGACTTGAATTGTCATTCAATCTGATGTCCTATACTATATTAACTGATCCTGTTAATTTACTCTGTTTCCAGAGTATTTCCTATGCCGTTATACATTGTTATGCACCTTACTAAACCATTTATCCTTTAACTAGTTCACGTGGTGGTCTTTCCTCCCCCACCCTCCAAAATTAGTTTGTTGTTATTGTTGTTGCTAGCTATTATTGTTATGTTGTTTTATGCTGTTTTATGCTGTCTTAATTGCTTTTGCTCTGTTTTTAATTGTATTCTGCCTTGGGCTTGGGCCCCATGTAAGCCGCCCTGAGTCCCTTCAGGGAGATGGAGGCGGGGTAGAAAAATAAAGTTCTTCTTCTTCTCCTTCTTCTCCTTCTTCTCCTTCTTCTCCTTCTTCTCCTTCTTCTCCTCCTTCTCCTCCTTCTCCTCCTCCTCCTTCTTCTTCTTCCTTCTCCTCCTCCTCCTCCTCCTCCTCTTCTTCAGTACATTACAGCAAAATAAAATACAGATAAACAAGAAATAACATCACAATAGAATAAATAAAACATTCCAGTAAAATAAACAGTGCAAAATAACATAATGAAAAATCAAAAACAATGGGCGGACCAGATGCATAACATAAAATGATAAAACTCTGGATGAGATAGCAGTAAAAAGATATATTTATAAAGGAAGAGCTCGTAGGAGATGGAACAGTGGAGCTAGGCCTTCAAAAAGGTGGGGGGCAGGCATGTAGCCGGGGGGGGGGGCTTGAGGGGCTTCAGCCCCCCCCCCGAAATTCTCATGGTGGTTCGCGAAAAGGCCTTACTGGTGCATTATTTAAACTGTTATGTTTATTCATATCATGATCTGATCACCATACTCAATATATCCCATATGCATGGGGGTATTGGGGTAATGATACAAAAGGTTTGCTAGGCTAGACCCTCTTTCACTCAGACTCAGCCCCCCCCCCGAAACTCAGCCCCCCCAAAAACCCCCCTGAAAAAAAATTCACCCCCCCCCCCCGAAACGAAATCCTGGCTACGGGCCTGGTGGGGGGAAGTCAAAATGAGGACAGCATTGTAGGTGAAACACCAGGAATGAAATATATGGTCACTCTCCAAAAGCACATCAGAAAAGCCAAGTTTTTAGATCTTTCTTAAAGGCTGCTAGGGTGGGGGCTTGCCTAATCTCACCAGATAGCGAGTTCCACAGTCAGGGGGCCACAGCAGAGAAGGCTCCCTCCCTCATTCCCACAAGTCCTACCTGTGATGGAGGAAGGGGCGAAAGGAGGACCTCCCTGAGGATCTAAGGGATCGTGATGTTGTGTGATGGGCAGCGTGCCCTTCCAGTGCTGGAATGGCGGGGAAGGATCCTAGAATGCTAAAAAAAGCCTCGTGTGATTAAGTGGTGGAACTTCTATATTGCAGCTTGCATTGCTTCTGTGTATACTTTGAGTGCATTTATTGGAAAAGCGGAACCTCCCATCTCCCTTTGTGCACCAGAAGATAAAACCATACTGAACAAGCCAAATACTTTGGCTCCAGATTTGGAAAGGCACAATGCCTGGAAACGATGCAAATAAGCATTTTTCAAATGGTGTGGGTTTGAAATATGAGATCATCTTTGCTTCTTAAAATGTTATGTGATATTTACTTCATGATCAGTAACAAGGACTGTGAAAGTAGCATGCCTAAATCCTAACCCTTAATTTAAATTGGGCTCATTGGGACTGATCTGGATCATGTGTAATCTGACTGGATTGTTGTAGATCAGGTTCCTTATTTCAAGGACTGTATGTCTGTGAGCCTGTTAGAACACTAAGGACCTCATCATACTAGAGCATGGCTTCACTTTAAATCCAATTTCTGCCTCCTGCAGAATTCTGGGACTTGTGGGTTAGGAGGGGGCTTTTAAACTGCTCAGCCAGAGAGATTGTGGGCATCACTAAACTACAAATGCCAGAATTCTGCAGGAGGCAGAAACCGGATTTAAAGTGGATTCATGCTCTAGTGCAGTGTTTCTCAACTTCGGGGTCAGGACCCCGGGGGGGAGGGGGGGTTGAGAAGCGTGTCAGAGGGATCACCAAAGACCATCAGAAAACACAGGGGGGGGGTGTCTGCATGGAAAATTTGGTCCAATTTTATCATTGTTGGAGTTCAGAATGCTCTTTGATTTTAGATGAACTATAAATCCCAGCAACTACAACTCTCAAACGTCAAGGTCTATTTCCCCTGAAACTCCAACAGTGTTCACATTTGGCCACATTGAGTATCAGTGCCAATTTGGACCAGATCCATCACTGCTTGTGTCCACAGTGCTCTCTGGATGTAGGTGAACTACAACTCCAAAACTCAAGGTCAATACCCACCAAACCCTTCCAATATTTTCTGTTGGTCATGGGAGTTCTGTATGTCAAGTTTAGTTCAATTCCCTCATTGGTGGAGGTCAGAATGCTCTTTGATTGTAGGTGAACTATAAATCCTGGCAACTACAACTCCCAAATGTCAAGGTCTATTTTCCCCAAACTACATCAGTGTTCAAATTTGGGCATATTGGGTGTGCATCAGATGCATCATTGTTTGAGTCAAGAGTACTCTCTGGATGTAAGTGAACTACAACTCCAAAACTCAAAGTCAATGCCCACAAAACCCTTCCAGTATTTTCTGTTGGTCATGGGAGTTTGGTGTGCCAAGTTTGCTTCAGTTCCATCACTGATGGAGTTCAGAATGCTCTTTGATTGTACGTGAACTATAAATCCCAGCAATACAACTCCCAAATGACAAAATCAACCCCCGCTCCAACCCCACCAGCATTCAAATTTGGGCGTATCGTATACTGGTGCCAAATTTGGTCCAATGAATGAAAATACATCCTGCATATCAGATAGTTACATTATGATTCACAACAGTAGGAAAATTACAGTTACGAAGTAGCAATGAAAATAATTTTATGGTTGGGAGTCACTACAACATGAGCAACTGTATTGAGGGGTCATGGCATTAGGAAGGTTGAGAATGACTGCTCTAGTGTAATGAGATTTAGACCATTTGGAGCTGACCCTATCTTTACCTTTTGCAGGCAGGTGAAAATATACCTCTTCCATCAAGCATTTGGAGAATGATGAGAGGCAGCTGCTACAGACTGTGTAAGTGGGATTTTGGGGGACTGTGTAGTTTTCAACTGTAGTTTTAAATGTATTTTAATATTTTTACGTTCCATGATGCAAAGATGTCATTGTTTTTAATGTTACGTTCATGCTTGAATGTGTTTGTATTGCATAACGTTTGCTGTTTGCTGTCTTGAGTCCCTATATTGGGAGAAAGGCAGGATAAAAAGTAAGTAAATTAATAAATTAATATTATTTTATTTTATTTACCCCACCTTCCTCCCCAAGTGGATGTAATAATTGGATTCATTTCAAGCAATTTAAGCCAGTTGGGTAATCTGGATATCGAAAACAAGTACATGAAAGGCAGGCCCGGTGCCTTCAAAATGTTGGAAAGTAGCACCATATACAGAAAACATCAAAACGAGGGGAAGCGTGTAGGAAAATTACCGTAGACTTCTTTTCTTGATCGTTCCAGCTTCCAATGAGAGACAAGAATCTTCCTGGTACACAACAATCATTGTAAGGTACTTGCAGGGAGGGATAGTGACAAGTGAATAATCAATTATCTTCCCCTCTTTTCTGCTCTTTAGATCCTTTTTTCCTAGCAGCAGGAACAGTTTGGGGGAAAAAAGCTTTAGAGTTTGGTGGCCGTTTATGTTAGAGGAGCTCTGGTTTTTCATTCTTTACTCTAACTGTAGGTGATCTTCATTTCTTCTTTTCAAATCCTTTTTCAATAGAGTCCCATGCCTTTTCATGCTTTAAATAGGCTTTTTATTTGAATGAGTCTAAGTGCCGGTCTCAGAGTGCTTCCAGACAGCACTAAATCACAGGTTTTAAACACTGGCAAAAAAAATCCTAGGACTTCAGAAGAGGTCCACAAACAGACATGTTGGTCGCATGATTTCTGACTCCATTGTCCAGACTTGATGCTTTGTTGCAAGGTTTAGAGCAGGGGTCCTCAAACTTTTAAAAAGAGGGCCAGGCCACAGTCCCTCAAACTGTTGGAGGGCCGGATTATAATTTGAAAAAAAAATGAATTTCTATGAACACTGCACATATCTTATTTGTAATGCAAAAAACCCCCACTTAAAATGCAATAATTAAAATGAAGAACAATTTTAACAAATATAAACTTATTAGTATTTCAATGGGAAGTGTAGATCTGATTTTGGCTGATGAGATAGGATTGTTGTTGTTGTGTGCTTTCAAATAGTTTCAGACTTAGGTTGACCCTGAGCGAGGGCTGGGTAAATTACCTTGGAGGGCCGTGTCCAGCCCGCGGGCCTTAGTTTGAGGACCCCTGATATAGATGAATGTAAGATGAATGTATTACCACCTTTTAAGTTTCCACGTGTGAGTGTGATGGGGAGGCAGATCTTGAAATGAGACTGCTGACGATATAAGAGGGGTGATTCTCTATAGTAGAAGGAGGGTCACCCATGCTTTCTCCTCTCAATGTCATAAGGCTGTTAAGTGATTTGGGGGGGGGGGGGAGTAACCCATCCTATTCTTGCTATTGTTAAACCATTGGGAATCATAACCCCTTGCTGACCCACCAGAGATCTAACCGAGGATTGCCCTCTCTTAACCTGTGAACTCTGGGTCCACTCAATGGCATGGGGTATAGTGTTGTTTTATGTAATGGCAATCATTATTTCCATCGACACTCTTCCAGCCTCATCCATTGCAGCACACTGCTTGAAAGAAAGAGCTATTGGGTTTCCAGATTATGAAAACAAACATATTCTATCACACACTGATACCCACACAGTGGGAAATAAATAGCTGAGGAGATACTAAAGGGGCAGTTTCATCCACTGTAGCTGCCAAAAACAATGTTGCAAGGATAGAGTGGTTCTCTGTCCATTTCTCTGCAAGCAGATTTCTTCTTCACCCCAAGGAATACCATAAACACTCTAAAATGGTAACAAAAATGGGTGAATAAGGAAATTCTTTATAAATCAAAAAGGAGACAGTGAGGGTACGATAGGTTTTGCTGATGTTTGCCAGAGTGGAGTCCCCTGTGGTGGAAACCATCCTGCTCTGCTGAACAATATCTGTTGTAAGCCCATAATCGCAAGTTAATATATGAGCCACAAAGGGTTGTGCTGATGCAGCTTTTCCTGCTGTCAATGTCCATGGAGCCGCTGTGCTCACACTATGCAAAAGGGGGGAAATAGTTATTTCATCTCTTGCTTGACTATCTTCCAGTAAGTATTTCCTCCTTTCCCTGCAGGTCCATGTTCTTGAAACTTGCACTGGCAGGGATAGAGATAAGAAATGCATTTTTGTTTCTAAGACTCGTTTTGAAGTGCTTGCGCTGAACGTACCTCTGTTTACAAAGAAATTTAATGAATGGCACTAGCAAGAGAACAGACAAAGCTAAATTACTTGAATGGAGAAAAGCGCGCAGAGAATGACTTGATTTAGCAAATAATTTTTTACTTAGGTAATTATTTACAGAAAACAGGCCATTATTTACAGAAAACAGGCCATTTCGTGAGTGCTTTGAGAGTGTCTGCAGCCCTGTAATGGAGCCACTCCATAATTCCCAATTAATTCCATTATACAAACAAATCACAGTTGCTTTTGAAAGGTAAAGGAGGACAAAATATTACTTCAGTTATTTTTCTTCCAAAGAAAGACGCAATCCTGTACCTAACAGGAATGGAGAGGCCTCTTACAGGAAGCCAAGACAGCCTTTCCCCCCTATGACATCTTTGTACTTGCAACCTACTGTTGTATTCAACACACTACATCCTGGATGTTTCATCTCTCCAGCCAGGAGGAAACTTGGCCACTAGGCATGGATAGAGCCGCATCGGATTACTTGTTACTCGTAATAATTTTGTTAAAGTTACCTTTTTGAAATGATTACAAAGCATTTTAAAAACCTTGAAGTCCTTTTTCCCTTCCGAAGCTTTTTCTGCCATTTTTGTTACGACTAAGGAAGTGAGTCGGAAATGATTCAGCGTATTTTCAGCCTTCTAGCCGACTGGGAGGCTCCTTGCCTCCCCTCCCAGCCAATCAGGGGAGAAGTTTTGGGGAGGGGAGGGGCTTCGGCACTGGCAGCCATTGCTATATATAAAGGGGAGCACATGGCTCAGAAGCTCATTCGGAGCTGGGAAGGGAGAAGGGAGAAGAGGAAAGACAAAGACAAAGGGCTTCCTCTTAGTTGTGTTGAAGGGAGGTTGGAAGAAGAGCACGGCAGGCAAGCAAGCAAGCAAGCAGAAAGGAAGAAGGGCTGGGAGAAGGGCTATTGCTAGCCGTGCCTGACTGCTGCCTGCCTGGCTGGGCAGTGGGCAGTGGGCAGGCTGCCTTGCCACTTGTGTGTTGTTGCTGTTAGGTTTTGGGTCGGGTGGGCACTGTGAGGGTAGTGTGTGAGTGGTGTGGGTGGAAGGAGCAACACAGAGAAACCAAAGCACTCACTCCAACATTTTTAAAAGCCAACATTGTGGCTGGTCTCTCTGGCCTCTGTGTTTTTTTAGTTTGTTTTGCACATTGCTTCAAACGAACTAGATCTCCCATCAATTCAAGCCACTCTTTGAACACAAACTCTCCTTCCCAAAGTAGTGAAATCAGCTTCCAAGGCAAAAAGGGCAGCTCAAAAGGCCCCCAAAGCCCTCAAGGCTGTTTATTTTTTTTCTTTGTTTGCCATGAGTTGCCTAAGAAGACACTAGAAATCCCATACTTTCATGCCTATACTTCCCTAACTCTTGAAATCAGGGAGAGAGAATCCCCTGAAGTTTGCCCAGTGCCATTTGCTGTTTTTCGCATAGTTCTGAAATTTCTGAAATTTTTTCAGAAAAATTCAGAATTCAGTTCCGAATTGAATTCCCACCAAATCCTACAACCAAAATGAGTTTTGAACCAATTTTTGTCAACCAAGCCTATTGGTCACATTTGAAATCAACCCCCTTTCTCCCACTTCTTTAGTTCATGTTTCAATAAAGCAGGAAAGACAAACTGGAACGTGGAGGAGTCGCTCCATGGTGTGAGCAGAAAATCAACTGACTTCTGGCACTATAGCGAGGCCATGTAGTTCTTGGTGTTTTTACAATAGTGGAAGCAGCTGTAGGCTGGATCTCTACTACCCTATATCCCAGAATCTGATCCCAGATTATCTTCTTATCCCAGATTATTTGTCAGTGTAGACTCATATAATCCAGTTCAAAGCAGATAAACTGGGATCAGGTGCTAGGATAAAGGGGATTGTAGATCCAGCCCCAGAAGCATCAGCATAACAGTCAAATATTAGCCATGGTATGGTGTCTACAGGGATTGGTGTTACAATGACCCATGAGATTGCTGAATCTGGTTTACAGAATTCACCACTATCTTAGGATGTGGAGGCTATATTGTCCTCCAAGTGTTATTGGACTACAGCTACTATAATCCCTCATCAGTGCCACTGCCAGCAAGGGCTGATACTCCCCACTCTTGACCTAAGTTACCTGACTATGAGATTATGAAACAAGATCTTGCTCTTGTTTCACATGAAAGCACCTGTTCCTAATGGCCTAGGGAAGGAGTAGGCTGCTGGAGATATACTAACATGAGGCACAAAAGGGCTTCTGTGTTGTTTGTAAATGGATGGGTCTGCCAAGATACAGTGCATGTTGTTCTGACAGCAGTATACAAATCACAGAGGCTCCCTGGGAAGGAGGAGAAAACGACCATGCCTCCTCCTGGAAAACTGCCCTACTGCTCAAGCCTGAGGGCTGCAGTTGTCGTTGGCCCCCCAGTGATTTCCCATTAATCATCCTTGTAGCAATTTCACAACCTCTTCCTGAAATGCACATACTGATTTCACTCTGGATAAAATTATGTTCTGCTTCCACAAGCAATTGCTTTTCCAGTTGAGGGTGGATGTGAAAAGAAGTTTTCACCTAAGTATTAGAAATAACCCTTTTTACTGGAAAAGCTGTAGATTCCTTTAAAGGAATAGATTTCTTTAGAGGGCGGACTCTCCATCTCTGGAAGTCTTGAAACAAGCTATGGATGAGCATCTTTCAGGGGCACTTTACTTGTGTATC